GAGTTCACTGAAGGACAGCAGGTGCTCAAGATCGTCCCCAACCCCCAGAACAAGCTCCAGCACACCTGGGAAAGGCCCCACAAAGTCCTTTGCAAGTTAGACAAGACTAGCTACATCATTAGCCTCAACGCCCATGACCGCAAGCAGCGCACGGTCCACATCAACATGCTGAAAGAGTACCACGACCGGACTCTACCCGTGGTAGCCGTCTGCCCCACCTCCACAGGCAGAGAAGATGAGGGAGCCCTGCCTGATCTCCTGCAAGCCACCAAGGTTACCACTCCCCTAGATCAGATTCCCACGGGGGCTCAGCTGAACCCCCGCCAGATGGCCCAGATGTGGACTGTGCTAGCTGACCGGGCCGTTGCCTTCTCAGCCACCCCAGGCCGCACTGGGTTTGCCCTCCATCACGTGGAGACCCACAGTCAGAAACCCATCCAGCAGGCCCCATAACGGGTCCCCGAATCCGTGAAGTCGGCCATCCGGGCCGAACTCTCCGAGATGCTGGGTATCATCCGACCCTCCCGCAGTCCTTGGGCCTCCCCGGTGGTGCTGGTTCCAAAGAAGGATGGGACCACCCGATTTTTTTCGTGGACTACCAGAGGTTGAATGACTACACTGTCGGTGACGTCTACCCCATGCCCTGCATAGACGACCTGCGGGACCATCTATCCGGGGCCCGCTATGTTAGCACACTAGACCTCAGCAAGGGTTACTGGCAAATCACCCTCACAAAAGAGGGCGTTAAGCGTTCCACCTTTATTACCCATTCGGCCTGTACAAATTCCTCATCATGCCCTTCGGCATGAAAAACACCCCCGCCACCTTTCAACAGGTTGTGGATCAGCATCCCCTAGATTAAACAGTGCCAGTCTGTATCTGAATGGGCCCGATACGATCTTTATTAAAACACATCCATCCAGATACAGTTCAGGTCGGTAGCGGCTTGTAGAGATATACATGAGCCTACACGTGGAGTTCGCACTGCCCGGCGCCTGGCCATACGAAGTCCATGTGGTACTATGCTGCTGATATGTGGATACAGGCCCGCGGCCTACCGCCGGCGGCATTCGCATCGAATGCCATGGTGGCATACACGCCGGTCTATAAGCGCAGATCTGCCATCTCATCCATTACCGAGCTGAGTACTGTAATACATACATTGTACATGCGCATGGCCCAATTGCAGCCTTCAGAGCTTTAATTAGGCCACACGAGAGACATATGAATAACACCAATATATGACACATTTAAAGGACAACCTGTAATAGAAAATTTCCATGACAAAGGGTAGTCTGTGCTCATACTAAGGACAGTTCATGACAAGGGTGGTCTGTGCGCACACTAGGGACAGTCCATGACAAGGGTGGTCTGTGCGCACACTAGGGACAGTCCATGACAAGGGTGGTCTGTGCGCACACTAGGGACAGTTCATGACAAGGGTGGTCTGTGCGCACACTAGGGACAGTTTATGACAAGGGTGGTCTGTGCGCACACTAGGGACAGTTTATGACAAGGGGTCTGTGCGCACACTAGGGACAGTCCATGACAAGGGTGGGTCTGTGCGCACACTAGGGACAGTTCATGACAAAGGTGGTCTGTGTGCACAATAGGGATAGTTCATGGCTTCTAGGGACACTTACGATAGGCGTCTTGCAGATGCTCAGCACCTGGCGGCTTCCAGGGGGGTAGGCGACTTGTGGATGCTCAGCAGCAGGCGGTTTCCAGGGAGGTAGGTAACTTGCGGACGCTCAGCAGCAGGCAGCTTCCAGGGACAAAACGATCAGCAGACAGGGTGGCTTCCCAGGTACCCAGCAATCAGTAGCCAGGGTGGCTTCCCAGGGCCCCAGCGATCAGCAGAAAGGGCGGCTTCCCAGGGGCCCAGAAATCAGCAGACAGAGGTGGCTTTCCAGGGACCCAGCGATCAGCCAGTAAGGACACAGCAGGCTTGCAGGGCTTGCAGGGGCTTGGCTGTGCGGGGTCTGTGCCTGGATAGTTCTGACCTTTGAGGGAGTGTCCTGCAGAGTGCTCAGCGGGGATGGCTGCGGAGGCCCGGTCCCCACCCGGACCTCCCAACAGAACAGCTGCGGCAGACAGCACAGGAGGGAGGGAGAGAGTGGGCCTGGTCTCATGCTGGCCTTTTTTAAAGCTGTGCCGGATGCTTCTGGGTTGCCCCGGCAACGGCCAGCCCAGCGTCGGGTTGCCAGGAAATGAGGCACGCCCCCCTCGGGCTGCACTGAGGGAGCGCGGCCTTTGTCTCCGGTGGGCGCAGAGCACGGGAAAGCCTCGTACCTGCGCTGTGCCCACCAGGGGCACACAGAGACACCTTGGTGGCCCTTTGCTGGAAAGGTGCTAACCGCACCACAGGGGGTATTTCCTCCCGTCCTGCACAGCCCTTTGATGTAGGATGGCAGGATGTGAGGATTCACAAGGGGGAGGGAGGATTGAAGGGACAGGCAGAGGGACAGGCAAAGGGGGGTGGGGAAGGCACGGGCACTCCATGACACCATGTATACCACAGCCACCTCCCTTTCCAAGTATACCACAGCCACCCCTCTTTCCACATATACCACGTCCACTGCCACCCTTCTGTCCACATATTCCACAGCCACCCCTCTGTCCAAGTATACCACATCCACTGCCACCCCTCTTTCCAAGTATAACACGTCCACCGCCACCCCTCTGTCCAAGCATATACTCTATGTTGTACATTACATACTCCTGACCCCTGCACTATATACTCTATGTTGTACATTCCATTGTCCTGACCCCCATGCCTGACCCCTGCACTATATACTCTATATATATATATATATAGGCCCCCTTCCTACATTTGACGACAGAATTGGTATCTACAGATGCAACAAAAGAGGTTGTCTCACCTGTCAGTCCATCACCCATGGCAGATCACAGTTTTTGGACTCCCAGGGCAACAGCTACCACATTCGTCAGTTTATAACGTGTGCAACTAACCACGTCATATACGTTCTCACATGCCCATGTAAGCTCCTATATGTAGGCCGAACCACACGCCCTCTACGCAAACGCATAGGGGAGCACAGAAGACTTATAAGAGATGGATGCGATAAGCATAGTGTCCCCAGGCACTTTTTGCAATCCCATCAAAATAATTTCAGTCTTCTTGAGGTCTTAGCAATCGAACATATTCCAAAGGGTACATTTACTGACAATGAAAGACTAGCCCGTTTGTGTAAGAGAGAGACGTTCTGGATCTACAAATTAGGTTCTATGACCCCCAATGGTCTCAATGAGGATCTTGAAATCCATAGCATTATTTAACAAGTTTGACTTCTAGTCCCCGGAACTGGGATCCTCCAGTGTGTTTTTTTATTACATACAGTATTGTCTTCTTTTAATCCTTGTTTTTTAATCTGCACTGTCACCATGTATATATTCTGTGCACTCAAATACGAATACATATTATTACGCATCTATTATATTTATTTAATTATGAACATATGAGCTACCTAATTTGATACCAGGATTGATTTTATTATATTCCTTTTAGTCATACCTTTTATACAGTCATTTTCATATACCTTTGATACAGTCATTTTCATATGCCAAGCATTCACTTCTCCCTACTCCCTTCTTTGCCCATATACCCATAATTACCTCACTGTAAACGCAATTTTTGACATAGCTTCCATGAACCAGCGATGTCATTTTTAACTTGTGTGTTTTTTTTTTTTTATTATGTTATTGTATTACCTTTATTTTACTAAAGATGAAAGTATATCATGCTTTCCAATGCTATTGTTTTTATACATATCATTTTTTATAACTTGCAATCTGTACCTTTAAATTTGTATTCAACATTGCTTCAGGACGAGCCGTCCGCTCTGATTGACACCCCCATCCCCTGCTAATTACACTCAGCCAGCCTTCCCTTTAATGGTCTTCTATATAAATGGCCGCCGGCCATGGTTACCAGAGACTTGACAAAGCGCAACTGCGCGAAACATGTCGTCTTGGTAACCCCACATATGCTCCCAGCTGAAGCCAACGCCGGACACTGCCTTCGTTTGCCATGGTGACACCACCCAGGACGCTGGTACGCTGACACCCACGTGATTTGAAGCCGACAGGAGCATTCTTTGATCTCAGCTCCCCTCAGAGCGGACGGGCCGTCCATTGGAATCACACTGTCCACTTCAGGTTGGTAATTTTTATTATTATACTTGCTACTTTATCTCACCCAATAAAGATGCACCTCCACTAAGGTGCTTGTCTGAGAGAATTTTTCCACAGCGCCTTTTTTTCCAGTTCACTATATACTCTATGTTGTACATTACATACTCCTGACCCCTGCACTATATACTCTATGTTGTACATTACATACTCCTGACCCCTGCACTATATACTCTATGTTGTACATTACATACTCCTGACCCCTGCACTATATACTCTGTTGTACATTACATACTCCTGCACCCTGCACTATATACTCTATGTTGTACATTACATACTCCTGACTTCTGCACTATATACTCTATGTTGTACATTACATATACTCCTGACCCCTGCACTATATACTACTATGTGTACATTACATACTCCTGACCCCTGCACTATATACTCTATGTTGTACATTACATACTCCTGACCCCTGCACTATATACTCTATGTTGTACATTACATACGCCTGACCCCTGCACTATATACCTGATATTACATACCCTGCACCCCTGCACTATATATTCTGTTGTACATTACATACTCCTGACCCCTCGTCCTATATAATCCCCTCATCACTGTCCCTCCTATAAAAGACAGTTCTGGTTGTTTCCTCACTCTCTGACTAAGGTCCATGAATAAAGAAATGACCTGGTAGGAGATCAGAGGAGCCATTTCCTAGTTCCCTTGAGGGTGGAATTGTAAGCTCCTCAGGGACCAAGCTGCCTGATGGGGGGGGTAGTCCTGGTTTGGGGGAACCAATCAGCTCCTGTCTAGTAATCCTCTTTGTCTTTGTATTTTAGTCCATGGCCGGGAGATGAGGAAAACCTCCGAGGATTATCTCACTTTGTTTCCAGACTGGAAAGTAGAAGATGAGGACATCACACAGTATAGTCCAGGAGAAAACCCGGCTCCCTCCAATGTCCATCCGGCACCACCCAGTGTAGATGGACCATTGGATTCCTCGTATCCTGAGGAACCTCAGACTGTGCGGGACCGGGTCGGCCTTCCAACAGGGAAAAGCTTCTCGTGTCCTGAGTGTGGGAAATGTTTTTTCAGTGAAGTTCAGTCTTTCCAGACATCAGAGATCACACACAGGGGAGAAGCCGTATTCCTGTCCTGAGTGCGGGAAATGTTTTTCACTGAAGTCCCATCTTTCCTCACATCAGAGATGTCACACGGGGGAGAAGCCGTATTCCTGTCCCGAGTGCGGGAAATGTTTTTCAGTGAAGTCCAGTCTTTACACACATCAGAGATCTCACACAGGGGAGAAGCCATATTCTTGTCCTGAGTGCGGGAAATTGTCCTGAGTGCGGAGAAACACAGGGGAGAAGCCACATTCCCTGTCCTGAGTGTTTTTCAGTGAAGTCCCATCTTCACACACATCAGAGATCTCATACAGGTGAGAAGCCGTATTCCTGTCCTGAGTGCAGGAAATGTTTTTCACAGATGTCCATTCTTTACAGACATCAGAGATCTCACACGGGGAGAAGCCATATTCCTGTCTTGAGTGCGGAAAATGTTTTTGCGCGGAAGTCCAGTCTTCATGAACATCAGAGATCTCACACGGGGGAGAAGCTATATTCCTGTCCTGAGTGCGGTAAATGTTTTTCAGTGAAGTACAGTCTTTTACAAACATCAGAGGTCTCACACATGGGGGAGAAGCCACTTTTCCTGTCCTGAGTGAGGGAAATGTTCCTCATTGAAGTCCTGTCTTCCTGTACATCAGGTGTCTCACACAACCCTGGAGGTGTATTAGTGCCTTGAGTGTGGCACTAATGTGGGGAAGAAGCCCCCCCTGATATACACCTCAGATATACTCCATGGCTGATCTTCATCATGGAAGAACACAGTCCATAAGGAGATCAGAGGTCCCCAAAGACATGGATGAAGTGTGGGACCGGGTCGGCCATTGATATCAGGAGAAGAAGTTTTCAATGTATTTTCCATGAATGGAAGACATTCCAGCAGCTCAGATGTGATCCTAATAACATTGGTTCCCCATTCACACAGGAGGAATGGACATGAACTCTCACTGAGGGAATTGCTATACAAACATTCTATGAATAGACCCCCAAATGTCAGGAGACGTTTCTATAAAGACGGGAAGTATGGAGCAGAGAAATGAAGAGACCTCCCAGCAATGTTATTACCAGGCTGCAGCTAGGGGGAGCTCTAATGTCACCCCCCAGCAGAGGGATCCCATCTAGCCCACATTAACCCTCTCACTGCCAGAGCTGTTTCTGCATGATTTTGCACACATGGGAAAATGCAGATTTTGGTCCTGAAGATGAGATAAACCCCCAAACATCTATTCTGTGACATCAGAGGCCCTGGAGAATAAAATGGTGGTGATTGTTAAGGTGTTCCCCGTACACAGATTCCCCTTCATATCCGCCTTTATTTCCTCCTTTCCCCCCATTTTCTATGTGGGATCTTTTCTACAATACTTTGTTATAATAATGGAACACGTTGTGTATTGTATTGTACACCAATAATAATGACTCCGCCCCCACATTCCAGACAAGGGATCTTCCTGACCAATCGGATTTCTTCCTTTACTATTTCCTGATTTTTATGCTTCAATCTTGTTAAATGTAAAATTATAATAAAACATTTATTGAACAAAAACTATTGTGTGTGTCGGTGCAAATGACGGCAAACTTCAATATAGAACATTGCTCCTCGGTGACACCTCACACCCTTCAATAACGGCGCAGAGTGCGGGGGTCAGCAGTATATCATATACAGCCCACCATACAGAGTGCAGAGGAGGGCTGTAGTGTGTCCCCCCCTCCTGATCCATACCAGGCCACATGTCCACAACATGGGGGTCACCTTACCAGGGGGGATTCCCCCAGGCATAGCATCTTGTCACCTTGGCTGGTGGGTGTGTGGGGATCTGTGGGTGGGGGTCATATTGGATTCTGAAAAACCCCTTTTAATAACAAGGGGCCCCCCATATACCGTTCCCCCATGTGAATGAGTATGGGGTATATAGTACCCGACAATAGCACCAGCCCAATGACAGCTCCCTAAACTGTCATCATCTACATAAGTGAAGGGACAGGGATGGTGGGATCTTATTACCCAAATGTGACCAGTGACCATATTTGGTCAGTGATGTCACTGCTATCCCCGCCCCCTTCCTTACATGTCAGGGATTCCCAATAACATCACTGATTCCTGGGGGTGTGGCCGCTGTACCCCCCTCCATGTCTTCCTCAGGCACCAGTGACAGCGGGAAGCTGTTATACATAGAAGTGGTAGAAATGTCTCTTCTACAGGTGAAACTCAAAAATGAGAATATGGTGCAAAAGTTGATTTATTTCAGTGCAGCAACTTAAAAGGTGAAACTAATATATGAGACTCATTCCATGCAAAGCAAGATAGTTCAAGCCGTGATTTGTCATCATTGTGAGGATTATGGCTTACAGCTCATGAAAACCCCCAAATCCACAATCTCAGAAAATGAGAATATTCCATGCAATCAATAAAACACGGATTGTACATAGAACAATATCGGACCCCTGAAAAGTAGAAGCTGCATATGTACTCAGTACTTGGTTTGGGCCCCTTTTGCAGCAATTACTGCCTCAATGCGGCGTGGCATGGAAGCTATCAGCCTGTGGCACTGCTGAGGTGTTATGGAAGACCAGGATGCTTCAATAGCGGCCTTCAGCTCTTCTGCATTGTTCGGTCTCATGTCTCTCATCTTTCTCTTGGCAATGCCCCATAGATTCTCTATGGGGTTCAGGTCAGGTGAGTTTGGTGGCCAATCAAGCACAGTAATCCCACGGTCACTGAACCAGGTTTTGGTGCTTTTGGCAGTGTGGGCGGTGCCAAGTCCTGCTGGAAAATGAAGTCAGCATCCCCATAAAGCTCGTCTGCGGAAGGAAGCATGAAGTGCTCCAAAATCTCCTGGTAGACGGCTGCGTTGACCCTGGACTTAATGAAGCACAGTGGGCCAACACCAGCAGATGACATGGCTCCCCAGATCAACACAGACTGTGGAAACTTCACACTGGACTTCAAGCATCTTGCAGTGTGTGCCTCTCCATTCTTCCTCCATACTCGGGGTCCTTGGGCCTCTCCATTCTTCCTCCATACTCGGGGTCCTTGGGCCTCTCCATTCTTCCTCCATACTCGGGGTCCTTGTGCCTCTCCATTCTTCCTCCATACTCGGGGTCCTTGTGCCTCTCCATTCTTCCTCCATACTCTGGGTCCTTGTGCCTCTTCATTCTTCCTCCATACTCGGGGTCCTTGGGCCTCTCCATTCTTCCTCCATACTCGGGGTCCTTGGGCCTCTCCATTCTTCCTCCATACTCGGGGTCCTTGTGCCTCTCCATTCTTCCTCCATACTCGGGGTCCTTGTGCCTCTCCATTCTTCCTCCATACTCGGGTCCTTGTGCCTCTCCATTCTTCCTCCATACTCGGGGTCCTTGGGCCTCTCCATTCTTCCTCCATACTCGGGCTCCTTGGGCCTCTCCATTCTTCTTCCATACTCGGGCTCCTTGGGCCTCTCCATTCTTCCTCCATACTCGGGCTCCTTGGGCCTCTCCATTCTCCCTTCATACTCAGGGGCCTTGGGCCTCTCCATTCTTCCTCCATACTCGGGGTCCTTGTGCCTCTCCATTCTTCCTCCATACTCGGGGTCCTTGGGCCTCTCCATTCTTCCTCCATACTCGGGGTCCTTGTGCCTCTCCATTCTTCCTCCATACTCGGGGTCCTTGGGCCTCTCCATTCTTCCTCCATACTCAGGGTCCCTTGGGCCTCTCCATTCTTCCTCCATACTCGGGGTTCTTGGTTTCCAAATGAGATACAAAAGTTGTCTCATCAGAAAAGAGGACTTTGGACCACTGAGCAGCAGACCAGGCCTGTTTTTCTTTAGCCCAGGTAAGACGCTTCTGATGTTGTTTGTTGTTCAGGAGCAGCTTGACAAGAGGAATACGACATTTGAAGCCCATGTCCAGGATCCGTCTGTGTGTGGTGGCTCTTGATGCACTGACTCCAGCCTCGGTCCACTCCTTGTGAAAGTCCCCAACACTTTTTGAATGGCTTTTTCCTGACAATCCTCTCCAGGCTGCGGTCATCCCTGCTGCTTGTGCACCTTTTTCTTCCACACTTTTCCCTTCCACATAACTTTCTATTAATGTGCTTTGATACAGCACTTTGGGAACATCCAACTTCTTTTGCAATTCCCTTTGAGGCTTTCCCTCCTTATGGAGGGTGTCAGTGATGGTGTCAGGTCAGCAGTCTTTCCCATGATTGTGATTCCTACTGAACCAGACTGAGAGACCATTTAAAGGCTCAGGAACCCTTTGCAGGTGTTATGGCTTAATGATCTGATTAGAGTGGGACACTTTGAGCCGAGATTATTCCACCTTTTCACAATATTCTCATTTTCTGAGATTGTGGATTTGGGGTTTTCATGAGCTGTAAGCCATAATCATCACAATGATGACAAATCACGGCTTGAACTATCTTGCTTTGCATGTAATGAGTCTCATATATTAGTTTCACCTTTTAAGTTGCTGCACTGAAATAAATGAACTTTTGCACCATATTCTCATTTTTCGAGTTTCACCTCTATATGTGATGATCGCCTCCTGCAAAACACGGGACCGGAACAGGCATTTTGGTTTAAACTGTCGTCTCATCCCTACTCTCTGACAACTAAACCCAGAGCCCATCCCAAGTAGTCAGTGTAGTGGTCCCTTACATTGGTGACCAATGGGAAGGACCCCCTTATATCAGTGGTCAGTGTGGTGGTCCCTTACATTGGTGACTGATGGGAGAAGGACCCCTTATATCAGTGGTCAGTGTAGTGGTCCCTTAAATTTTGTGACCAGTTAGAGAAGGATTCCCTTTTTCAGTGATCAGTGTAGAGGTCCCTTACATTTTGTGACCAATTGGAGAAGGATCTAAAAAAAAACTAAATGTGAATCACCAGCACCAGATGGCTTGCATCTGAGAGTCCTCAAAGAATGTAGCAGGTCATTGATAGTCATTCCTCATCTTTAGGAAAGCTTAGTGACCGGAATGGTGGCAGCAGATTGGTGAAAATGTAACGTGGTTCCAGTTTTCCAGAAAGGACCGAGATACATATCTGGAAGTGCTCCAAGCCAGTCAGCCTAACATCAATAGTTTGTAAACTATTGGAGGGATGATAAGGGACCATACCCAAGAATTTGCTGATGAACATAGTATCATTAGTAGTAACCAGCATGGGTTTATGGGAAAAGATCGTTCTTGTCAGACCAACCTATTAACAATCTATGAGGAGGTGAGATGTGATCTGGATAAAGGACCCCCGTGGATGTAGAAGCAACGAGGATTGTGTCACTTCCAGAGTCACTCAGATGTAAACAAGCCATTTCCAGCTTGTGAAAGCATCAGAATGAACTGATCTTGGTGGTTTGGTCGGATGTTTTTTATGGTCAGATTGGATCTGGGGTCCAATAGACTGCAGATGTCTCAGTAAAGAGAACCTGTCTGGTAGCAATAAAAGTAATGAAAAAAATTGGGACAGAGTAACAATAGAAAAAAAAAAAAAATTAAAAATGAAAGCACCCCCCCCCCCCCCGTGTTTGCACACAAAGGCTAACACATACGGAAGTCCACCACACATTGTAAACGGTGTTCTCACCACACGTGTCTCCCTACACAGGTATGGCTGGAAATGTCAGAGTGAGAGCGATAATTCCGGCATCAGACCTCCTGTGTAACTCTACACTGGTAACCTGAGTGACACCTATGGGGGGTATTTAGGCCCCGTAGTT